CCGACTCAACATTCATTTAATATCAAACAAGCACTGAAAAAAAATATACTTGAATTGAGTATTTTTATTTATATTAAAATCAAGTAGGGGTGAGTCGGGTAAAACGACCCCTTTTGATTTTTTTAAAAATGTTAACAGCTCATTCAATTTTCAATAAAATGGAATAATTTTTTTTCCCATGGAAACTACACTTCTTCCCCTTTGGAATGAGCCTAGACTGATCTCAATTAATGAATTTGTTTCTGAGTTGTGAGTATCACAAAAAAAGTCAAAAGCGGCCGTTTTACCCCACTCTCCCTCATATTATTCTTGATCCGAGTGTAAAATACACTTGATTCAAGTATATTTTATACTCGAATGAGGGATGGGTATTTCAATTCGAGGATGATTATTTCGTATCAGCCCGGGTTGTACCAAGCGCTCTCAAGTGTGACATAAGGGTCAGACACTAAGTGTGAGAATATAAGGGTCAAAAAGTGGAGGTTAAAAAATGAGGGTCGGAATATTAGAGTAAAAAACTGAATGTAAAGGTGCACGGAGAGAAATGTTCAGTAAAAATTACGGAACTCACAGTTCGCTCACCGATTCCGGAATCGATTCAGAAAATTTAAGTGACGGTATCGTAATTTTCCACAGGCGATTCAGATAAAAATTACGGAACGCTCTGGAAAAATTCCGTGATTTGAGGTCAAAATTACGTGACTGTTCCGTAAAATTTCCTACAACCATATTTCGCTCCGGAATTACGGAAAAGATACGTAATTTTTAGATACTTGAATCAGTTCAAGGTATATTTTTTTTTATCTCTTTCAGTTGAACTGAAATAAATAATTTTCATGTCTTTGGCAGTACTCCATGTGCATTTTTTTGCCACCATTGGCACTGCCAAGAAGTTAATTACATTTCTCAACAATATTTTATTCCACTCTTTTCATTTCTTTCTTGAAAAATCTTTCCACCACTTCCGGTGGAAATAAAGGAATCAGGGGGTGGGGTTTTTCACGTTGGTGAATGACAATGATTGGACAACTTCCGACTGACGCATACATCTATGTGCGTACATGGGATAAAACGACACGGTGACGTGGATAAAGAGAAAAAGAAATATGGTGAAATAAAAAATTTTATATACATGACATCCTTGTTTGTCGAACCGAGGAGGCAAGTGAGAGTCACACATGCACGACGATTCGTGCATACGATAGAGTTGAATAAAAGCCGAGAGAATGAGTATGCTGCGTCGCGGGGAGAGGGAGGGGGGGGGGGAAGAAGTGACACATTCACTTGGATAATGTATTGATTATTTGTTTTATTCAAGCAATTTTCCCTCGACTCATGCACACGTCTCAATTTCTCGCTGGAAATTCCCTGATTCCCAATGATTATTATCACTTCGATTTATTGGGGTCATCCCAGTGAGGCACTCGGGTAATTGTGATATGCATGAGCATAGAGATTGAAAATGTACTGTAGGGACTTGTGGATGATTGAATCTATTTTTGTCGTTTTTCGGGGAAGGTCAGCGGAGAAATCATTGCAACGTAGATTGTATTGTTATAGGGCGATATTTCGGTTATTATTTTAGGTTTGTCGCTGGGAAAAATTGACGGGGGACAGTTTCACTGAAATTTTAAGAAATTTCGCTGTTGAAAATTCACAATTTTTATGAAAAAATCAATGAAAACTGTTAATTTCAGTTCCATTATTTCCTAAAGATTAGCAGAATCCAAAAATATTCATATTTTGAATAACAAATTTAAGTAATTGAGAGAATTTTCGTCCTTCTACTGCTCAAAAGTTTGAAATAACATGATTTTTTCATCAAAGTTACATTTACACAGTTCAAGAAATTGCAATTTTCCTCTTACAATTCTCATACTCTGAGTTAAATGGTGTATAAGATATTTAACTCGCCACCTACTCGAAGGATACCCTCGGATCTTCCACCAAATTGAAGAACAACATGAAAATGAACACAATCACAATCAATCAATTCATTTTTTAATCATGTCGTGATGAAAAAAAATTATTTTATTCGGTTAAAATTCCTTCCCGAGGATGGAGACGTCCCTGAGTCACAGTGGGCCCATCAGTGGACGGCCCAAGGACGTCGTGGGTCCCAGATTTTGCGAGTCTTCGTCCTCGGATGTCCCCCACCATTTATTCAAACTCGTCTTCTCGTTTATGGCCCTCGCATACGGTTCTCTGAACGATCGAGTTTAGTCGACTTCATTTCATTTCATTTCATTTTAGTCTATCCCAAACCACGTGGACTCGAAACAATTTTGATTTTTTTTTCGACTGATAGATGAAGTCATTTTTTTATGTTGATAGAAAGTTTAACCCAAATTGAGTATTTGGAATATTTAATTTCATTAACCTTGGATTTAGTATATTTATTTCCCCTCTATTTTTATGTTTGGACTTTCTCAATAGTTCAACTATGAATTAAAAATCAGTCCCTCAAGAGCCCGAGTAGAAAAAAATTATTTATTTTCTTTCCTCAGAGCTATTGTAGAAAAATTCCTATTAATCATCAAAACAGCTAGTTTATCTTGTTATTTTATATGTTCATCTATTAGCCTGAAAAATTACAGAATTTTTCTCGAACATTTATAATGCTATCAATATTTCAATTTTAAACAAACGAACATAGGATGAATAAATTCCCGAAGCTCACGTTCAATAAATCTCTTATGAGAAATGTTCAGTAAAAATCACGGAAGTCTCACTTCACTCACCGATTACGGAATCGACTCAGAAAATTTAAGTGACGGTATCGTAATTTTTCACCAGAGATTCAGATAAAAATTACGAAACGCTCCGGAAAAATTCCGTAAAATTTCCTACAACCACATTTCGCTCCGGAATTACGGAAAAGATTCGTAATTTTTATTGAATATTTCTCTCCGTGTATGGAGGAAATGCCTCAGCGCCTCGTTTTTCTTTAATTGCCATTGACTGGCCAACCGGAAAATTCAAATAAATTTCACTTTTTGAATTGAAGTGGCTAATAAATTATAGTAGTTTTTAAAACACCATAATTCCCAAAATTTCCAGAGAAAAAATTATTTCCAAGAGATGAATACTTTTTTCATGTTAAGGTATATCCACAGAAAATATAGTTTCTGGACCGACCGTAATGGTTGGGTGAGTTAGGTGTTGCTCCGGCGGACATCCGAGGGCACACTGATAGAACGGATTAGTTATTGTTAACGAATGGATTTTGGTTGGAGGTTAGGGTCTATTCGGTCCCACCAAATGTTCATTCGTTAATAGTTAACGAATGTACATTTGAGGAGCCTTGTTTGACTTGACTTTCGCTATTCAAGTGAACCATTCGTTAATAGTTAACGAATCTCGTTTGGACTAAAAGAATCATTCTATCAGTGCAGCTGCGTTTAGCGTGGTTAGTACTTGAATGGGTGACCGCTTAGGAACACCCTCGCCCAAAAATTTCGGAAGGTAGGCACGGTGCAGTGACCTAATGTGCCTCTCTAGTCAATGTGACAGAAGGGCAGATTAGGGCTCTGCACAATCGGCCGGCTGTACGACTAGGGTTTTCCATGGTTTTAGCTAGGACTGCAATGATTAACTGGTAAAATCGCAAATTTCCTTGTTTCCTTCGCAATCATTCCAATTGCTACGATTCATCATTAAAAACTCCGCCATTAACGGTCATCACGGTTATTTTAAGAAAACAAACAATAAAATGAGGAGAAAATAGAGAGTTCAATTCTTCCACAGCTGCCAACGTTCCGGACACCGAAGTGTCCCTCATCAGGACATTAATTTATTCTTATTTTCAATCCATTAGTTGTGGAAAGGTTCGAACAGAAAATATTCTATTATTCTCCTTGTTGTTGTTAAAATATTCTTCTATAATTCTCCTTGTTCATCGAGGTCAGAAAGATATAGAACAGAATTTCGTTCCACGATTACTTGATTTTGTCAATAATTTTTCCTAAACTTTTTCTTATTTCAGTATTTCCGAAGTAATTTGATGGCGCGAATGTATGAATAATAATAGCGCTACAGATGAAAGCATTCGGTTTTCAGGAAATTGATAAACATCCTCAGCTGTTACAATTCGCACTCACGTACAATGAAAACTCAAACAATGAAGGGGTCATAGCTTTATCACCATATTCGTTTTATGAACAGAATTTCGCATCACAGTAATTTAAAAAAAACAAACGATAAACAAAGGAGAAAATAGAGAGTTAAATTATTCCACAGCTGCCAACGTTCTGGACACTCATCAAGACATTAATTTATTTTTATTTTCAATCCATTAGTTGTTGAAGGGTTTCAACAGAAAATATCATTCTATTATTCTCCTTATTGTTGCTAAAATATAATTCTTATATTATTCTCCTTGTTTATCGAGGTCAGAAAGATCTAGAACAGAATTTCGCTCCACGATTACTTCGACTTTTTCAATAATTTTTCCCAAACTTTTTTTTATTTGCACTATTTCTGAAGTAATTTGATGGCCTGAATGTATGAATAATAATAGCACCATAAATGAAAGCATTCGGTTTTCAGGAAATTGATAAACATCCTCAACAGTTACAATTTGCACTCGCATCGAATGAAAATTTCAATCAATGGGTCAAAGCTTTATCACCACATTCGTTTTATCACTTTGTTTGAATGAACAAAATCTCTCCCGATTATAACCACCTACTTGTGACGGATTTAAATGCACGTATGTTTTAACATATCCACGTGTATGCATGTATACTATCCGATAAAAATATTTTTTCTTCGAATTATCCTGTTTCAACTTGCCACAGACGTCAGTGGTGAGTCACTGTCTGCCGACTAAACAATGTGAGAGAAAAGAAATAACGTGAATAAAAAAAAACGGCCTGGTCATCTCGTCTGCACTCTAGTGCCCATAAACGACGATATCACGACAGAAGTAATATAACAAAAAATAAAGAGCCATTGGATGGGAATGGGGAGTAAAATTTTCTCTGCATTTTATGTTTCAGGAGAAAAATTCGTTCTTGAATTACAACGTCTCGTGTATACTTACACTGCCGCCCTATCAGCGTCAAGGATATGGAAGGCTTCTCATTGATTTCAGTGAGTAAACAAATTTCATGTACTGGAGGGAAAGAAGTTCTCTCATTTCTCTATGTGGATAATGCATATCGGCTTTCTTGGTAAATGGAAGAGGTAAAATAGGAAAGGTCAGGATGGATTGAATGGATTTATTATTGGGGGATGGAAAAGGTCTTGAACTGTACCATTTTCGATTATAAATTCATCCATTTTGTGGGGGAGCATCAATCGGGGTAATAGGTGCACTGATAGACTGATTCATTTATTCTAAACGAGATTCGTTAACTATTAACGAATGGTAGAGCTGAATATGACCAAATGAATACAGTAGAGCCTTCGTATAAGACACCTTAGGAACAGTAGGAAGGTGGAACTCCCGGAACCCCTGTGCCCCCACTACGCGCTCCCGCAGAGAGGAGAAAAATAGGGAGCAGCGGGTTTCAAATAAGATACCTCGCTCATTGCGCCCGAATTCAATGAAATTTTCATTTTTACACTGATAGAACGGATTAGTTATTGTTAAAGAATGGATTTTGGTTGGAGGGTAGGGTCTATTCGGTCTCACCAAATGTTCATTCGTTAATAGTTAACGAATGTATATTTGAGGAGCCCTGTTTGACTTGACTTTCGCCATTCAAGTGAACCATTCGTTAACTATTAACGAATATTCATTTGGTCATATTCAGCTCTACCATTCGTTAATAGTTAACGAATCTCGTTTGGAATAAATGAATCATTCTATCAGTGTACTGAATAAATATCGATAACTAATCAATTTATGTGTTTAATGTTTTGAATTTGTATCGCCCGCGTTCCCTTTTCTCTCTAAACATAACCCCGCGTGATAGAATGGCAGCTGATGTTGGGGGATTGTTGGCGGACTCGAGAATAATCACAGACGAAAAATTACGATTTGTCGATGGGAAAAGTAAAAAAAAATCGATGTATGTGTCCATTACTTGAAAAAAGTGGTGTGACCCCCCTTTAAAGTCATTAGACCCTCATGATCACTTCGTTCGTCCCTCCCGTTTGACCCTTAACACCGTTTGATCCTTATAACTACTTTCTTCCCGTTGACAAATGACCGGGGACAGGTATCTTATAAGAAGCCCACGAAACATAAACATTCGGGAGGCGATATAAGTGCCGAGAGTGGGGGTAGGTCTCGAGCGCTCGGAGCGCGAGGTATCTTATAGAGAGGTTATAAGATAGCTTATAAGAAGCCTCTACTGTATTCGTTGATAGTTAACAAATAGTTCACTTGAAAAGTGAAAATCGAGTCCAACGAGGCTCCTCAAATGTGCATTTGTTAACTATTGACGAATGAACATTTAGTGAGACCGAATTGATCCTCGTCTCCAACCAATCTTGCCATTGCGTCCCCAAAAATTATGATTGTACAATCAAAAGATTGTTCAGAAACACTGAATATTTCGAAACGTTTTTGATTAATTTTGGGATCCATGTGCTGGAGGGAAAGTTCTCTTATTTCCCTATATGGATAATGCATATCGGCTTTCTTGGTAAATGGAAGAGGTAAAATAGGAAAGGTCAGGATGGATTGAATGAATTTATTATTGGGAGATCAGAAAGGTCTTGAACTGTACCATTTTCGATTATAAATTCAGCCAATTTTGGGGAAGCATCAATTGGGGCAATTGTTTTACTTTGGGAGGCCTGTGGGGCTGGTGCACTGTCATGGCTGTGAGGCTTAGCTGTGGAAACTCAGTGGAGTGGTGACCATGTGGGAACATTTATAAAAACTTATAGACGCTTATTCAAGTGTGCAACATATCAAGATTAATACCTAGTTGCATACATTTTTTTTGCATTATATAAGGGACTTTGGAGCATCATCAGGTTTTAACCAGTAGTTACCTTCACCCAACTCACAAAGTATTGTCCATGAAAATATAATTTGGATATGTGTATTATCTTTCTAACATGATCTTAGTTATTTTTTTTTTCAACTTTGATAATCTGAAATATTCTCTATTTGTCATTCAGTTTTACACAGCCCTCGAGTCCCCAAAAATTATGATTGTACAATAAAAAAAATGTGGAAGAACACTAAACATTTTCAAATCGCATTTTTGAATAATATTTGGAAATAAACCCAATAGAGAGGAAATTGCAAATTAATAATTTACAGTGTCTAATGGCTGCTAATAGTTCAGCATTTGTGACAGCAGTCAATGGCTGGCGGGTCGTTAGTTGCAATGACAAATTATCCATTTACACGTTCATCGTTATCAGACTTCTTTCCTAATCTTAAAAACGCTCTTTGAAAATGTTCAGTTTGTTTCTACTTTTTTTAAGGTGCAATCATAATTTTTAGGGACTCCTGTGTGATGTAAAATCCAATGAAAATTGTGGTATATTTAAAATTATGAAGATGAAAAAACAATCGAGATAACATTCGAAGGATAATCCATCGGGGTCTTTAAATAATAAGGAAAATGCTGCAAAATTACGAGAAATTATCTGTTTGACTTTGAGAGTTCTATATCTTATGTTAGACGTAAGAAATTATTTCATCAAATTTAGGATGCATTTTTTGAGGCTTTGAAGGTTTTATCGAACGAAAAGGCTGTTTGCAGTGAGTTATGAGTTTATGAGTACTATTCACTTTGTTAGTACAATTCGCTCGACCTCAAAAGTTATTAGTTGAATTTCCCCCAAGTCATTAAAAAATAATTAATGTTGGTTCTTGATTTAAAAAAGGGGCATTTCAAAGGGGTCTTCCTCTCCAGAAATCAAGCATCTGAAGTTGGAGTCCAAAATCCACAAATTTGAATTCGAATTAGAGAAGAAGTAACTCACAAAACTGATTAACCCTAGTTTAAAGACAATGATTCAGATTTGATTTACCTCCCCCATGACAATACAATTAGAAACTTGAATACAAAACACGAAACCTTGTCAACTTTTTGCCTCATTATAAACATTTACATCGAATGACTACTAAATAACTTCCATACCTGAATACACCACACAACAAACTTTGAAGTCATATAAAAAAATCTACGAATATACAAATTTTCACCCAAATTTACATCAACACAAAAGAAGGAAATATTGATTTGCTGTTAACGCCGCTCAACTACTACTGCTATTCATTATTCGCTAATAATTGACGAATGTTCCCAACAGTTAAAAATCCCCGTTACCATCAATTCACAATAAATCTCCGGTCTAAAAAATAAATCTTACGAGATGAAAATTTTCATCTCGGGTATGAGTAGTGATGCCGCGAGACATTTCATGAGACATCACGAGACCAAACTTTGGAGATATGATCTCGGTCTCAATAAACATGGAAATCTTTGCTCTCGTCTCAGTCTCAAAATCACGCAGTATCGACTCCTCTCGGGATGACTCCGAGTCAATTTATCTCATTTCCGTTTCGAGTTTTTCGCGTTTTTTATACGTAGAAAATCGAGACGAGACAAACCGAGACAAACCGAGATTCTACATTAAAAACATGACAAACTTGAGACCGAGACGAGATAAATTGACTCGGAGTGATTACGAGAGGAGTCGATACTGCGTATTTCGAGACTGAGACGAGAGCAATGATTCCCGTGTTTATTGAGAACGAGATCATCTCTCCAAAGTTTGGTCTCGTGATGTCTCATGAAATGTCTCGCGGCATCACTAGTTATCAATAACCCACGAAAATAAAGAAAGATGTCAGGATAACAATGAAGGAGCCCCTCCCTAAAAGAATCACGTGTGTACAATGACACACTCCAATTGCCTAAAAATTCCCTTCCTCGATGACGATGAAAGTACCCAAACGCAAGCAGTAATGTTTTTCCCCCTGTGACGTCATTTTCATTGATGCTGACAGAGTGTGGTGGCACGTAGTACGGGGGAGGGTCTTTCAGGTGGGGTAGTTATCCCTCCCCCCTCGCCCCGTCTCCCTCCATCCCTTTCCCCCGTCCTACCATTCGCCCAGTGGTGGGATGAAGCAGAGAGAGATCCACACACTAACGTGTATTGGTAACCTGCGGTGGCTGGATTTGCGAGGGTGTGGACAGTAGTAGTCGAGTACTTGTGTATAACCGTGTGGCTCTAGCATCAATGTCTGCAGAATGGTTGGCTAGATAGAGGAGGAAAGTGCGACGCCCGATGTCTCGCCACATCGACCCGTATGCCACCACCCTAGTACATGCATCAGAATCCTCGTACAGCCATTACCAGGGCGAAAATTATTTATTAAAGATGATAAAAAAAACAATCCCCGAACGATCTAAATTCTATTCGACAGTAATGAAAAATTGGGGCATAAGTTTGGGGAAAATGGGAGTTCAATGGACTTTTATGGTGAAATCTTTGGTGACCTCCGGTGACCCCAGAGATACAGCCTCCAGCCACATGTGCACACCCTCCAAGTGATGCGAAATTGTCAACTGGTATTCTATTCTCTTGTTCATTTAGTTCACAAAACTGACCGAGGAAAAGTCGTAATTAATGCCCCCACCAGAGGCACATCGAATTGGTCTAGTAATTCTGTCTTTGTTCGTTTATTTCATTTTGTTCAGCCTCTCTCATCTGTATTTTGCCTCCTGCCCCGTTCGGCCCGGATGAGGTAGAGCGACGGATTGGGGGGGGGAGGGGGATGCAGAGTGTAGAGGGGTGTTGGGGATCCACCGAGACACACAGGGGGTACCGTTGGGCGTATAAAGGGAGGATGAGAGGGCGAGAGGGAAGGGTACACCCGCTGCTACAGAGACGGTCGTTGAACCTGGAACTGGGTGGGCCGCGGCCCTGAAACACCCGCCTGGACTATTTGAGGGGTTGGTTTACAAGGATTTTCAGGATTCCTCGAATTTTTACGGGGGATTAAGAAAGGGCTGGAGTTTTAATAATTTTTCTTCGAGTTCGTGCGGATTTTTTATGGTGGAATTAATTGTTTTTGTTAAATGACCTTTTGGGGATGATGTTTCGATTGTAGGGTGGAATAGTCGGATGGACTATTTGAGCAGCTAGTTCAGAAGGATTTTGAAGTTTTTGGGGATTTTTTTGGGAAATTAAGGAAAGGGCTAGTTTTAATCGTTTTTATTCAATTAGTTTTTTAGAATTTTGAATGGTCAAATAAATTATTTTTATTAAATGACGTTTTGTGGATTCGCGTTATTATAATTCTATGGTGAAAACCCCGTCTGGTCTATTTGAGGGGCTAGTTCACGAGAATTTTGAGGATTTTTCCAGAAAATTAAAGAAAGGGCTGGAGTTTCAATCATTTTTCCTGTTGAGTTTGTGCGATTCTTGCGTTATTTCGATTCTAGGGTGGAACAGCCGGCTGGACTATTTGAGGGGCTAGTTCACAAAGATTTTGAGAATTTTGGGGATTTTTTCGGGAAATTAAGGAAAGGGCTAGTTATTTCCTTTTCCTTCACGAGTTTTTAAAATTTTTAACGGTGAAACGAATGACCCTTATCAAACGGTGGTTTATGGATTCGCGTAATTACAATTCTATAGTCAAACATCTGCCTGGACTATTAAAGGGCCTGTTCCCCCAGGATTTCCACGATTCTCTGAATTTTCCGGTAGGATCAGAACAAAGACTGGAATTTTAAACATTTTTCTTCACAACTTCATCCTAATTTTTGCCGGTGAAATGAATGATTTTTATCAAATGGCGGTTTGTGGATTCGCGTCATTACAATTCTATGGTGTAACGAGGCGGAACGATCGTTCAACCAGGCATCATGGCCAGACGCGGTCTCATCCTTTTGCCCGGTCACTGACTCGATCAACTTCAGACATTCTCTCTGTTACCATTCGAGTCATCAAAAGCCGTTGAATAACAACTTCTGTATCTTTATTTACCGGGCGTTGCGGCCGGGG